ATTTCAAAATTGTTAATTTTAACATATGCGAATATTATTAATAAATATAAACTATTATTTTTAAGCAAAAAAAGATTATTTGATAATTTACACTGTTAGAAACAAATGCGGAAAAAGAAAGAAAGTTACGAGAAGCAAATCTCGAACACGGGATTTTTCATATTCCAGCCACTTGCCTTAGAAACACTTACTTCTTAGCATTTATCGTCTGTTTCGTCGGCTCGGTGGAAGAGAGACGTGCGTCCTCTTCCATTGGTCGACCGGGTCGAGCTCACACGGATAGGGTGACGTCATCGGTTCTCGGTTGTATTTGTGTGATGCTGCCGCTCGTTTCTGGCAGCACTGCTCACGTCTCGCCGCACCGCGCTGAGCCGGACTAGATCTCGAGCGGCTGGAGTGCTTCTTTCAACGCGCTCTCATTAGTCTAAATGTAAAAATTAATATCTCGTTTATTATTGCAAATATCGTAAAACGGTAAAGGACTTTTATATTTATTTCAATCCCATCTATCTCCCAGTTCCCGGTGGGACAAGTTACGCGGGACACCCTGTATAAAAAGATATAACACTTACGGTGTCATTATCCATTTTTTTCACACATTCCACATAATTTATAGTTTTTGGAATTATTCTTCTAGTTCGGAGAGTTGTAATTATTTCTTCTTCCTCGCTTGAACTTGAAGAAGATTCCAAAAATGTCTCTAAAATATTAAAAAGAGTCAAATCCGAATTGCTCATTTTGTTGAATTTGAAACAATGTTCAAAACGATGCACTGGTGCCTGCATGCATCCAGTGCACTGAACTGGCACCGTCAAAATATCTCGTGCCATTTAGTGCGCACTACGCGAATGTCGTGCAATCAAACGAACACATGACACTAGCCAAGTGCGTATTGGCACTGCCAATCGAACACGCTCCTAACACTGAGTGCAGCCAGTGCATCCCAATCGAAAACGCTATTAGTAAGTTCATTTAATTGAAAAATTGGCGTACCAGGAGCATATTGGCATGTCTAAAGTACGTACAAATCAAACATAACCATTTATTATTGTTTACGATCGCGATGAGTATAAATATATTTTGCAGATGGATAAAATGAAAATTCTCTAGAATACCATCCCAAAAATTGGCAATCATGAACTAGACTCTGTGTTCAACTATGCTCTTCTGCTGTGTCGAACCGTGCCGTGGCGTGTCATTGTTGGAAAGCACCATGTCTGACACCATGTCGATGTATGTTGCCTAAATGCCTTGATGGAAAGCTCCCAGAGTTCAAGATCTATAGAGAGAAGGTTACCTCAGTAAAACCTGTTGTTGGCGAGGGACGATGAAGGAAAGGGGGAGCTAGAAACAGCTTGTGGCGAGGGGGCAATGAAGGAAGGGGAGAGCATGATGATCTCATCTGCAAACAGAAGCTGTCTGAGATAGCTTCTGCTCGCAGATGACATCATCATTGCCCCTCTTGCCGCTCGCCCTTCTCTGCATTTGCCCTCTCTGCATTTGCCCTTTTTGCCGCTCGTCCCTCTTTGCGTATGAGATAACCTTCTCTCTACAGATCTTGCCCAGAGTCGACCTCCAGAAGCCATAAAAGGATAAGGTTAAATTATAAATATTGTCTTTATGCTGTATTTTGCGCGAGCTATCAGTTAGGTTAGAGGCAAAAGATTAGGTAACAATTTGTATGTACTCGTATTACATACAAAAACTAAGTGTTATCTGTTCCAGCAGAGTGCATAATAAAAATTCATACGAAAACTTTTATTTTAATTAATAAAATTAATAAAACTGTTTTTTTTCAGCTGTATTTAGCAATGGATATTTTTCTACGGATTTATTAAGAAACTGTACGTAAATTTGAAATTAAAATAAAATTAATATATAAATTGCAGAATAAATATTGTTTAAGATTTCTTTAAAAAATAAATTAAAAGGAATTAAAAGGAAAATAAAACGATTAATCGATTTTTCGATTTCTTTTTAGTAATATAGTCGACACTTTTATGATTTTTTTTCTTTTACTCGATATTTAAAACATCGAGTTATTTTTGAAAATCGCCCATCTTTACAGTCTATACTTACTACGTCTATGATTGTAACTGGTTAAACTGTGATTTCGTGTTTTATTCCTACTCCGATAGAGCGGCGCTATATGTGTTTTACTTCAACTCCGAGAGAAGTCTTTATAGTTTTTCTTACAAATTCTTGACGCCGTAGAACTTGTGCAATTTTGCACAATCAACTTCAGGCGGTGTAGTTTGAGTTTGTTAAAAACCTCATATATGGGCAACGAAGTGCGACGAAGGTACGAAGACATTTCACACAATGATTCGTTGGGATAACGCGATGTTGTCGTAGAGTGTGTGAAATTAACGAAACAACTCATGCGACGTGAACGAGAACGATGTCTTGATGTGTACGCACGCGCAACAGAAATGTTTCTGCAGAATAACCTTAATGTCGCGGGAACATTTGTCTGATTTTTATGCATTAATCGTGAATTTCAGTATTTTTCTCTGCTTTTTCAGATCGCATTTTCGTTGCGTCTTTGAATACTATCGGCCATGAATTTCCTTTGACTTCTGCCAACATCGAAATACTGCCGGATTCACGCGGACGACGCGGCTTCATTGATTGCAGCTCGTCACTATGGCTTTACGTCGTGGAAAACGCAATTTGAAACTGCAGGTTTCTGACGAAGTGCCCATACCAGTGTACGTATAGCAGTGATGATATCTTTGTATAGTGCTATGTACCATGTTATATATAATTTTTTTATTTTTGTGTGTAATATATGCTTTTAAGAATCAGAAAAAATGCATGTAAAAAATGTTTATGAAACAATATAATTTCAATCATGATATGTTATTAATTTAAGAAATATTTTTTAAATATTTTATGGATTTTAATCTTGTTTTAGAACACCACCAAGAAATTTAGACAAACGAACTACTATTACTATAGATGAGAAAACATTTGTTGTGGAAGCTGATGATTTAGAGACACTTTGTATACTTGGACGTGGAGCATATGGGATTGTTGATAAAATGCGACATAAACAGAGTGGTACAATTATGGCAGTTAAGGTAATATAATCAAAATGGGTTCATATTATGTTTTAATGTGCAATATAACACAATTGGTTCTAAAAGCATATGCATTTTTGTTTATAGAGAATAACTGCAACTGTTAATACACAAGAGCAAAAACGGCTACTTATGGATTTAGACATTTCCATGCGTAGTTCAGCATGCTCCTATACGGTACAATTTTATGGAGCTTTATTTCGAGAGGGAGATGTATGGATATGTATGGAAGTGATGGACATGAGCCTTGATAAATTTTACACAAAAGTGTATAAACATGGCCATGCCATTCCTGAAGACATTTTAGGAAAAGTAGCTTTTGCGGTATATATACTTATTATGTATGAACATTCTCCAATGATGTTAAATTATAATTTTTCTCACTTTTCTCACTTTATATTAAAAGTTTAATTTTAAATTCTTTAATATAAGAAATATGTATTAATACTTACAGGTAGTAAGTGCATTGCATTATCTTTATTCACAATTACGAGTGATTCACAGGGATGTTAAGCCTAGTAATATTTTAATTAATCGAAAAGGCGAAGTAAAAATTTGCGATTTTGGCATATCGGGTTATCTTGTTGACTCGGTTGCCAAAACTATCGACGCTGGATGCAAACCATATATGGCTGTATGTAGTTGTAGATTTTTTCTTTTTAAAGTTGCATTTACTTTTCAATACATTCTCCACTATTAATTTTTTTTGTAGCCAGAAAGGATAGATCCCTCAGGTAACCCATCGCAATATGACATTAGATCCGACGTTTGGTCGTTAGGAATTTCTCTTGTTGAGTTAGCCACAGGTAAATTTCCATATGAGTCATGGGGTACACCGTTTGAGCAATTAAAACAAGTGGTAAAGGATGAAGCTCCGAAGTTACCTGCTGACAAATTCTCTCCTTCATTTGAAGAATTCATCAATAAGTGGTAAATGGCAATTGTAATAAAATTTTTATATTAATTTTGAAACTACGAATGTGACATTTTCACATTTTTGCTTTCAGTTTAATGAAGGATTACACTGCCCGTCCCAACTACAGTCAATTGCTAGAACTCAGTTTTATTACACAACATGCTCAGAAGGACACAAATGTGGCGGAATTTGTTGGAGAGATTCTAGACTTACCAGAAAATGAGCAGCCGGTATAGTGGATACGCAACTTTGACACAGCTTGCAATATAACTTGACTTACACTTCTATTTTGGCAAGATAATTGTTTAATGGCATTTTCGTATGTATTATATACAATTTATATGATCAGATTGTTTATTCATTGTGCATTGAGACATAACTGGCCCTTGAACAATTTTATTATTTATCATTTTTTTCATTAATTTTTATTGATTGTATTATGATATAATTATAACATCTATAAGCTTGGCCTAAAAATTGCCTGTTTCATCTATTATAATGTTATCATATTTAAATTGGGTATATGTATAATGCAAATGTTCAGATATTGGTATGTCTTTTATGTGCTCAGTTTGTTTCGCGTTTACATCAAATATATTTAGCCTTTGGCCAAATATATTATCGATATTCGCTTGACATGAAAGCTAGACGTAAAAGTGTCATATGATACAATGATTATTGCAAATAAGAGTTAATTGCAATTATTAATTTGACGAGAAAAAAAGAGAAAAAGGTGGTGATGGATAACATTGTGCTAAATTCGTGTACAATATAAAACCATACGTAGAGCGAATAGCGAATGCATAGTATTTCCATCCGCAATGCACATGAACTTTTTTTGGTCTAACGGTCTAATAAATGGATCATCCAGTTTCATGTTAAAATGTGAATCAAATGTTGATAAATATATATATTTTACACATTTTTCAAAATTTAGTAGTGAAAATTTGCATTTGCTATTCGTTTATTTGATATATATCCACCTTTAAGTGAATAAAATATTCATAAAATGATACACAGGTGTTTTTTTTACATAAAACAATAAAAGTTAGCATTCGTAGTACAGTAATCTCTAGTTATAAAATCGCATTTTGATTAAAAGATTATAAGTTCTTCTCATTTTCAGCACAAGCAAATCTGAGTTTTATCTGACGCCAGCTGTAAAAGACAAAAATATATATTTTTTAATGCTAATTTATTTCGTTCGTTTGTATTTTTAGGCTTGTTCGTTTTAGCTGCACTGGGGCAGCTTTGGGTCTGCTCTAAACAAGATAATACAGGACAAACTATTTATCTGTCCTGTATTATCCTGTGTAGAGCAGACCCAGAGCAGCCCCAGTGTAGCTAAAACGAACAAATCCTTTGTTTCATCCTCGACGAGCCGTCAACAAGACTTTTATCTCACTTGCTCATTCTTATGTTTCGAATAGTGATCTTAATAACTGGAAATTATTGTACTTTGTTTTTTTTAACAAATAAATAAATTAATACTATTATTGATATAAATATCAAGAATATATTTAAAACGTAAATAAAAGATCAATGAATTTATTATAACACTAAAGAGATTGTACACCTGATCACAGAAATGCCTTACACATGAATTTGCACGGGTATCAAGGGATATCGAGTCAGCGTGTTCCGACTCTACATATTTTTACATCATGACTAGTTATGAACATAGCGGCAATGCTGTTTTGGCTATGCTGTTTTGGCAATGCTGTTTTGGTTTCAAAGCAACTAGAGCAATTGACAAGTAAAGGTTAATATTTATAATATTTATATTTATATCAATATTTATTGTTGGTGGAAAACGAGCAATATATATACTAAATGATAAAGAAAAGTGTAATTATTTATCAAAATAATAGGAACTTATATAAAGCAATTAACAGATTTGAAAGTATTAGCATGTGATTGTGGTGTAGTCAAAGAATTTGCTGAAAATTTAGAAACTTCTCATAGTAAATAAAAATATTTGTTTAAATAAATCACAGATATTATTAAATCAAAATATTACTTATTTTTTTCTTATTATTATGCTAATACTTTTAAATCTGTTCATTGCTTTATATAAGTTTCTCTTATTTTGATAAATAATAACACTTTTCTTCATCATTTAGTATATATATTAACTCGTTTTCCACCATCAATAAATATTGATATAAATATAAATATTATAAATATTAACCTTTATTTGTCAATTGCTCCAATTGCTTTGAAACAGTCAAAACCAAGATCTATAGAGAGAAGGTTACCTCATGCGCAAAGAGGGACGAGCGGCAAGAGGGGCAAATGCAGAGAGGGGCGAGCGGCAAGAGGGGCAATGATGATCTCATCGGCGAACAGAAGCTATCTCAGACAGCTACTGTTTGTCGATAAGATCATCATGCTTTCCCCTTCCTTCATCGCCCCTCGCTATCAAGCTGTTTCTAGCTTCCCCCTTACTTCATCGTCCCTCGCCCTCAACCGGTTTTACTGAGGTAACCTTCTCTCTATAGATCTTGTTGACACCCGTGCAAGTTCATGTGTTAAGGCATTTCTGTGACCAGGTGTACATAATAATCAAATGTGCATAATCAAAATTGTATTTATCCAAAAGCAAATTTTATTTATTAATGATTAATTGTAATGAAAATTGTATTAGTAATAAGAATTGAATTTTGTGACACAGATGTTGTATGTAGTGTAAGATTAATATTATATGGTGGAAATATTATAGAAAAATCTTCTCTTGATTTTTGTTTTTCTACATATGATCCTGCATTACAATGTAATGAAAATTAATATTGAATAAACTTTAAACGATCCTAGTATGATAAATTTAATCACTTTTAATGATCAATTTATTAGAAATTTGTTAAAATGGATCGATACTCCTTCCCTCTTTTGCTCTCTTCCACTTTGTTTTCTTTTTTTTATTTATTTCTGTGATCCAGGGTCGGATTGCATAAGCAATGTAAGCAATTGCTTAGGGCCCCGCGCCAGCAGGGGCCTCAAAGGTTTCATACAACTAATTTTATACGAGTATTAAATTGACGGAAAAAATTAAAAAGACCCTCTTTAAAGCCAGTGCTTAGGGGCCCCCTACGATCTAAATCTGGCCCTGCTGTGATCACTCATTTGATTGAATGTGAGAGAAAATATGTGACGCGAGGTCACCAAACCAAAGCATTTCAATACGACTCTAACAAATATAAGAATTCAAGAAAGATATAAAAGATGTCTAAAAAAGAAGGGCAAACACAACACACCGGGAAAAGAAATGAGTTGAAAAGATTAAAAAGTAAAATTTAAATTAGCACGTGTTTTAGATATTAAAAATATATGAAGATTATTTGTAAATTTAAAACATTGTTTTATATAAATAAATCAACATATTACATTTTTTTGTCAAAAAAATTAATTATTGTTATTTAACTAATAATTAATTATCGCACAGTTTTCAACAAGATATCGCTCAAAAACTAAGATTGTGCTCTATTAGTTTGATAAAGCTATGAATCTGGTATAGTCATTTTTCATATAGCAATTAATAATAATTTCTGTAGTAATATTGTTTTAAAGTTTGATTTTCATCTTGTTATTGAAGGTGATAAATGTAATAAATAATTCAAAATTCATCGTCATATCTTAAAGATTTCAGAAGATATATAAAAATGTTGTAAAATTAATGAATTATTAAGTCGAAATTTAAAAAAACTGGCTTTTGTGTTAATACAATAATAAATTAGGAAAAATAAGCTACTAAAGCTGGAGCTGGATGATGTTGCTCAATAATTCAATTTATTTCCAAAACAAACGTTTCGACCTATTAGTTTTTGATCATCCTCAGTGTAATTGATCCTTGCAGTGCAAACTTTTCATCTCTAAGCGTTTGATATTTTTATATAATATAAACCTTTGATATTTATAGAAATTGTCGTCAATAACCATATATATTGCATATAAAACTTTTTCCGCAAGTCTTATAATTTATCGTCATCATGTTAAAATATGTAATCGTCGTTGACTTTAAAATTCTTAGTTGTTTATGATTTAGGCTGACATTGTCGACTAGTAAAACGAGAAGTTTTTTAGATTGCAAGGATCAATTACGTTGAGGATGACCAAAAACTAATAGGTCGAAACGTTTGTTTTGGAAGTAAATTGAATTATTGAGCAACATTATCCAGCTTCAAAATTAATGAAATTATGATACATTATTTCTGTATTTATTTTAAGATTGTGTTGTGACGTGATGCTTTCCGTTGCGCCCGTCACAAGGGCAGTGGCCCGGCCGAGGGGGGCGGAATTTGGAGTTGTATCCCTTTGTTAAAGAGGGAGCAATTTCTTTTGCTTCGACGGGTCTTGCGTTCTCATTTAAATTATTATAATCTACCGACAAGCTTAGAATTTTAGCGTTAGGGTGTATGGCCACTTTATTGGGTCATGTAAACGTCAAGAAGAAGCGAACGCCGTAAGATTTTGGAAGATAACCTCGCGACAGTGGAGAGGAAGCCCAAAAAATACACGAAACCAAAGTCATCGAGTCTCGCGTTGAGTATCGTCATAATAGCAGTTACCGACTCTCCAACTTTACAGGACCGAGATCATGAGGAAGCCCCGATAAGGTTTACGATAAAGGGAGCACGGCAGTGCGATCGGATGCCGGAGGACGTTGCCGCCATCACTGAGGGTCCAAAAAGATGGTCGATGTAGCCGTGGCCTGGCCAGCCGGGCAGATCGAACCGGAGGACGGCAAACTCAGAGGAGATCATTATTTTGAAGTATCAGCGGTTGGCGAGCATGAAGACAAGAATAAACAATTGACGAGGTCGGAGCTGTTTACGATCGATAGGCGACTCGAGGAAAAATTATAAACAGAGTGCGCTGACCGATGCATGGAGACTCGACATGGGCCAGGGGGACCTCAGAGAAACCACTGTTCGACGAACCAGCAACCGGGAAGGAGCAGCTCCAGAGGAGGGTCCCGACAAGCGTAGCCGTATCGTCTTTGTAAGGCCATCACCCAGGGTAGCTATAATTTTGTAATACCGGCCAAAGCGGACGCCTCCGACACATTCAGTTACCGCTAAAATACCGCGATTATCCTTGATTATCGAAATAAGTGCCGATACCGCTTCCCGTGAATTTCTAAGTCGGAGGTTGGCTGGCCCCGGTTACCGTGTTACCGTAGCCCTCTTCGAGGCGCTGAGCCGTCGACAGTCCAAACGCTCGTAATCCGAGAAAGACTTATATCGTTACCGTCTCCGTCTTACCGGAGTTATTAGTTACCGTTGCCGGATTATATTGTTGTCGTCTCCGTCTTACTGGAGTTATCAGTTACCTGTTACCGTATGTTACCG